AAGAACCAGACTTTTCATCTACCTGATATCTATATCCTCAGGCTTTATTGACTTGAGTTTTTATGGGCAACTTTAATTAGGTTCAATGGCAAGGTATGGACGGGCTTAACGGACCTGTGCTGTCTGGTACAGGCTTCTATATTAAAAGGGTCTCGTTATGTGGGAAATTCAGTGACAAAGGTATTTGAGCATGATGTTATGCCATTTATTGCTTCAAAAACAGTAAGTTTATGGTGAATATTTGAATATGTTAGGCACTGACCTGATAGAACTTGGACAATATTTTGGCTCATCTAATGAGTTGATCAAATCCCTGAACCAAAACTACATTCGTTCTAATGTGGAGAACAATGGGCGTGCGTTGCTAGAAGGGACTCGGTTATTGGCTTCTTGTAACTATGAAATCGGCACTCAATGGGGTCAAGAGGTTAGTAGATTGTAGACTTCATATTCTGCTAAAGCAATTTGTGCATAAATTTCTCCAGTACAAGTAGTGCATAAATTGTTCCAAATCTGAGGTAAAACATATTGCAATCAATGGATGCCTTCAAACAAGGAATCATGTTTCTGCAGGTTGGTTTCTTGTATGATTCTGTTGTCGAAGATTATCTCACTGGGTTCATCTTGCATTACAATGGCTGGACTTCAGTTTTTTGTGAACCTTCTAGGCCACAATTCCTTGGAACAGCTGCCACAAATTTGAATGATGTACTGATTCAGGGATCCAGATGGAGTTCTGGACTGTTTGAAAATGGTATAAGCAAGTACTGTCCCCTTATAGATGGGCCTTTCAGAATGTCTCTTCTTCAGAGCATGTGCTTTGCAGAACTCACATATTACCCTTTATATTGCTTGCCTCTTTGGTGTTTTGCTACCATCCCTCAGCTTGCTTTGATTGATGGAACTACCCTGTACCCTAAGGTAACACTGGCAGCTATATATATAATGAGAGAGAGGGAGAGTTGTAAATAAGTTAATCCCTGAATTGGTAGGTCCATTTCTCTTCAATTCTGTAAAGTAACTCAGGAATGCATGAAGGACTAACATGGACTAAGTTTGTTATTTTCAAGATCAAGTGCATTTACTGATTTTTATGGACTGAAGCTGAAAGGGCATACTAATTCCTAATAGTAGTTTACTCTAATAAAGTTCCTTTTGCTTCAAATATTTAAACTCATTTTCTTTTTCTTTCTTGGTTCTTTTGAGTGTTTGACAGGTCTCAGACCCTTATTTCCTGGTCTTCTTGTTCATCTTTCTGTCAGCGCTTTCTAAGCATTTACTAGAAGTCCTTATAAGTGGAGGAACAACTTATCAATGGATTAATGAAGAGAGGATATGGATGATAAAATCAGTTACATGCCATCTATATGGATGTTTGGATGCTGTAATGAAGAAATTTGGCATAAGAGAAGCTAATTTCTTGCCCACCAATAAAGTGGAGGATAATGAGCAAATAGCGCTGTACCAAATGGATAAGTTTAATTTCAGAGCATCAAACATATTCCTTGTGCCAATACTTGCCCTCCTTACCTTAAACATATCCAGCTTCACAGTAGGTGCCTATAGGGTTGTTTCTCTGGGTGATTGGGACATTATGTTGATTCAGCTGATCCTTTCAGCTTATATTATTGCTCTTAATTATCCTATTGTTGAAGGTTTGGTCATTAGGAGAGATAAGGGACGTATTTCATTTTCAGTAGCTTTAATACTTGCTGTCCTTGCCACTCCTGTGGGTTTGGCATTTTATGCACTGTCGTGAAGTGACACGAGCAGAAACAACACCGCCAAGATTCTGTTTTGAATTTAGATATATATTTTGCTTCAATCAAAAGGATTTAATCATTGGACACACACGCAAGCGCGCGCGCGCACATTAAATATTGCGTTGGAAGGTGACTGACAGTCTGTAAAACACTCAAAATAGTAGTTAGAAGATAATTTCTTTGGTTTTATTCATTTATTGTCGTCATTATTAATTTCTTTAGGATGCTTGCCGTTGTTGCATGTCAAGGGCCCAAGATCTCTAAAATGTCAGTATGCCATGATCTCCGTATTGATGGTATTGGTAACAATTTGGAAGCAACTCAAGGTCCATTATTAACTCTCATTGTGACGTGCTTGATATATTATGATTCATTGTGTGTGATGTTCAGATGAATAATCTTTGGACTTTTAGGTTTGAACTGGGCTTTAAGCAGTCTTTTGAAAATGGGCTTATTAGCTTGCTATGCAAGTAGAGGGCAATGCATCTCATAGTTTGCGTATTAGGGCCGAGGTTATGCTAATGGGTTAGTTCTGACCCGTTAATCATCAACATCAATCAATCAATATTTAATCTACATTATGTATAGGGAGATATTTATATTGCAAGAAACGGACGGCATTATTCAGTATTCACAGAGCTTGAACAATGCAAATTTCAATTTCAGCCTCCATGCAATATATAAAGCCCAAGATCTAGTTACACACTCACACTTTCGCATAGAAGGGGCAAAAATAAAATAAAAAGTAAAGAAAAAATGTTTCTAAGAATTCAAATAATTTTGTAACATTTTGACAAAAAATGTAAAATTATTGAATATAATTATATAAACACAGGAAGTATTGCCACAAAACATTTTATCTGCTTATACCTGTTAATTTATGAGATTTCAGAAAATTATGTCTGCAAAAAGTAAGTAAATGAAGCTATTAAATTATCAAGATAATAATATATGATATTTAAGGTCCAAGTTTTTATATGGTAAATGAATCCATAAAAACCTGTTAGCTGCAGCCCTTCTAGCCCAATCACAAGTCCTAGCGTGACTTAGAGTACAACAGAGCCCTACACTTGTCGGTATCACAAAAAGCATCCTCAACAGAGTCCTTTATAGTTTATATTCCATGGCTAAAATTTATAGTTAAACCTCAACTAGTTAAAAAAAAAAAAAAAAAACACAGATATCGATATACTTTTTCATTCTTTTTCCCCCAACTAGGACAGAGAGTTTCTGATAAGAGAGCCATTCCTCAAGGTTGATGGACGAGACTACAATATAATACATATAGAGAGAGAGAGACACACACAAGCACAATGAACCTGGAGTCTTTCGTCACTGTGTTTTTTGTCATACATAAACATGGTAAGCATTCATTATTGATTATACATAAGAGCCAGATCCAGCAGGTAAAGATGAAAGACTAACAAAGATGAGTGGCAGAGACGGCACCTTCTTACACTTCGGGTATTACCTGCCATTTCGGCTCTACAACCTCATAAAATCAAACCCAGATTTAGCATCACGTTGCTTCATCTAACTGGTCTTGTGTCTTTCGATGAATTTGGGTTGGATATAGCATGATCTTTTGTCTATATGGACTTCTCTCGTCTCACTCCTTCCATTCTTCATCACAAAATGGAAATGAGGAAATCTTGGTGCACTGTTCTAGTTCATGGATTGAGACAGCTTGCCAACCATGTAGTTGGAAGTTCATCTTGTTATGCTGGTTTCGAGCTTCATTCTAGGAACCAACTTAAGTTCATAGAAATTTAAGCTTTTTGATGATGCAGATTGCCACCACTGACACCAACCTGGCATGGAAATAAATGCCCTAAGACACTCAACGACGTCCTAGGACCTTTTATATACAAATGGGCCTCCTATATATTATCAGGCAATGCTTTTATCATCAGTTCCTCGATCTCTGTCAGAATCAATCTTTGTTGATATAATATTTTATCAGTTCTTCCTCTCTGTCAGGATCAATCTTAATTGATATATTGTCAAAGATCGATCATGCTGGAATTACGTACTCCAGGCCTCATATGTCAGTCACATGATATTCTCATACGAGGCAGCAAGAAAATTTTGGTCCTATTTATATATATCCTCTTTGTCCACTTCCTGCTCTATATATAGCTAACCGTATGATGCATCAAGGAAAGCTACTTTTTGACGCCTAAACATTTCGAATGATAATAATTCATGAGAATATAATTAACTTACCAAAATATATCCTTTCAAATTTTTCGTTTAATGTTTTACTTTTTTTTATCGTCATCAATCTAATTTATTTTGAATTTAAAAATTAAACATGGCTATATTTTTACATCGATAAAAAATATTCTTTAATATTATAAATAAATAATTCACGTGAACCATTTTGATCAAAACAACCTTTGATTTGTAAATGGCCGCAGCATTATCTAGCGGTTATTTTCATCTAACTGATGGGCAATATGCGATGCCATGACCTAAAGGGAAAGGTCAACAATGCCTTAACTATTAAAATTGCGGGCAGCCGAAAAGACTCAGGTCTCAATCATCCTAAAGTTTTGAAAAGAGCTTAATATATAACCTTAGCTAGTGACGCTAATACATGTACCTGGTTGTACTTTAATCTGCTCTGCTCAAATAACACAATTTGTTTTGTTATCAAGTTGAAGTATAGCCCATAGAAATGCCAAACTTCCTCTAGTCAAGTTCGTACTTAATTATATATATTAACTCAAAAGCTTTGTCTGTTAATCAGCAAATCACTAAAGCTTCTATTTTCACTTAACAAATAAACGAGTTCTGCGATTTATTAAACACTGTTATCGACTAATACAGTCATGTTTGTCTTGTTTGATTTTCTTGGAGAATTACAAGCAGTCGTTCAAGTGCGTGTAATGTTGAAAATATGGGAATTGCTCACATATCATGTAGCTAGAGTGAGCTTTCTTAAAATTTTTTTTTAGCAGTAAATCAAAGCGTAGAAGACCAGATAATGTGTAGTGTTTTATGATATATAGTAGTCATATTTAACAGGGACAGTCAAAGTTCATTGAGTAACGTCAATTATTGTAGTAGCGTTGATACAAACGTTCATAACAGTAGCAAGTTCGTGATACGACAAACAATTTTCCTAACTCAAATCCCGAACCCTATGCAGGCTTTTCATTGACCACGAGAAACCATACCTCCACTTCCACTTCCACTTGTGACCTAATGTTCCTTATTTACTCTATGCAACTGTTTAGAAAATGCGGGAGTTAAATGTTGGATCTTTACCGAGAAGAAATATAACATTTATAGCAAGGGGTTGGGGGGGGGGGTGAGAGAGAGAGAGATTTACTAGACCAGTGACAAAAATACGGCATAAATGCGTAACCCTGGCAGGACGAGTTTCCAAATTTAGTAACCCATGACCAAACACACAGGACAGTTCAGGGTTAACCTTCCAATGGGATTCCCAGCCTTTGGTTTATAAATTTGATGCTCTTTCTTTCCAAAACTCTACTTTCCAGTTACTATTACCCTCAGGCTGTTCATTCATCCACCACCAGGTAAGTACTAAGCCTTATATTAACCTCTACCCCTCTAGCTTGGTAGTCACAACTTTTGAGAGATGTGATAAATGATACGAATCTTTTTATCTCAATCAGTTTGAGCTAATTTTTTTATGGTAGATTATATGATTTTGAGTTTGACAGTTTCTAGTTTCTGTTCAAACTATTGCTACAGGTGATCTGACTGAGGAACGAAAAGGAGATAGAAGATGGAGAGGAACAGGTTGAACAGCAGCCTTAAAGATGGCACTTTCACCACCAACAGCAACAAGAACCAAATAATGAAAGGATATTGGGACTGCAAATCTCAGATCAGTTGTGGAGGAGATGATTATATAAATGGATTCTCTTGGCCTCCAAGATCATACACTTGTAGCTTCTGCAACAGGGAATTCAGATCTGCTCAAGCACTTGGCGGCCATATGAATGTGCATAGGAGGGACAGAGCCAGGCTCAGGCAGTCCCCTCCCACTACAACTGATGGTCATTCCCCCATGCTCAACCTAAATCGTAACCCTACCTCTTGTCCTGGCTTTTCAAGCTCAGCAATGTCCTTGTTACCATGTTCATCTTCTTCTACAATGCTCACAAAACCATTCTCTGCCAGCACTTTACCCTCATTGGTTTCTCCTAGACTTTCTTCTTCATCTTCTCCTCCCCCCGCATCTCCTTCTCCTGATCTGAAAAAATGGGTTGTGGACGGTATCTTGTTGAACCCTTCAAGCACCAAGGCCTCAGGATCTACAAAGTTAAAGAATGCAGATTCTTTGTCGGGGTTTGGTGATTATAATGACTCTTTTGCGCAAGATGGTTGCAAAGTGGTAAAGAAGGCTGAGATCATTAGGTTGGACTTGGCCAAGGATGATTTAGATCTGGAGCTTCGATTGGGTACTTACTCTTAGATTTTATGCTTGCATATATATGTGAAGCACGCACCAGCATATATATTATATATAGATTTCATTATGTTAACAAAATATGAGAAGAGTTAGAGACAACATATTTATGGCATAGAGTCGTGTGTAATGAAATCTATTTATCTTTACCATCTTTATCGTCTGGCGAGAGACCATAGATGAAGTCATTTGGTTCCATCATTTAGTCAAAGATGATGCCCAGATGAAGAACTACCACCTGATCAAGTTCAGTATGCTGTACTAGACTGCTTTTACTCAATTTCTTCCTATATGTAGAGAGATATTTTCAATTTACTGTAAAGTAGACTCCCCTTATATATGCGTTTCCTCCTCCCCCAGTTTGTTTTATGCCTGTGTGTATGGTAGCATCAGGTTTGATATAATTATACATATGTTCAATTTCTGCAGGCAATGTGCATGCTTGATAATTGTCGGTTGGATATAAATATTAAACTGAAGGTTTACGTGTCATACATTTGGCAAGAGATCCTACCCTTGATTTTATGCTATTATAACATCAGAAACAAGGTTATAATTAAGCACTAACCATCTCAATTTCAATGACCACTGGATTTTAATCGACATATGGCTGAATCTCTCGACCAAATACATTTCAGTTCTGAACATTATTCATATATATATATATATATATATGTATGTATGTATGTATGTATGTACATTGAGTTTAGGAATGATAATGCCCACAATCAGTTTCAGTACTCATAATATAGATGATAACTCAGAGCTCATTGTCTCTAGATTGTTTAGGTTTAATTTTCATGGTTCAAATTTACATTTTTTTCAATTGGTGTTTTTTAAATAAAAAATTATTTTTTTAAAAAAACTGACAATTAAAAGGTTGTGTTTTATTTTAGATTTTGTACCTATTAAAATAATTTTTTTACAAAAATAAAAGTAAAATGCTGTAAATTTAGATTATTCAAATTAAATCTGAACGATCTAGAATCGATAAACTCTAAGTGCTTATCATACTTTATGATGGGCACTGAACTAAAACTGATTCTAATAATGTCCTTTCAAAATTCAAGATTTTCAATATTCTATTTGTAGCGCTAGTTCTCACGGGGGCGGGCTGTCTCAATTATTCTTTTTGATCAACATCTCCACCAACTGGATGAAATCAGCTGCTGCATCTCAGAGAAATTGCCCCAAGTCAGTACTCACTAATAGATGTTTCAAGTGCTTTTTGTCGTGGATAACTGACATCGATCAAATACAATTGAAAATTCAGCCGTGCAATTTACAGATATGATCCCCTTTACAGTGAATTTATGTAATTCATTATTTCAGTTACTCTGACATGAGTGCATAATATTATTGATCCAAGTTCCAACACAAACCTCATTATGATCACTGTACAAGCATATGGCCTAAAACGGGTCTACTTCATTTCAAAGTTAACCCAGTTTTTCCATTTGTTTGACTACCTTGTTCGCCATATTGGGCATTTGGAAAACGATGTGGGTTATTTAGAACAATCAAGAAACTTACCAATGATAACATCTATTTGCTTTTGCTGATTCAAGATCCTGACACTTTGCACTCGGGCAAATATGTAGTAACTGCTTCATGTGGCCTTTATTGGGCTTACAGGCCTTCTTAAGCTGCATATATTGCAGTCTTGCTCAGAACCCGTACCAGAGAGAACAAGCTTCTTCTCAGCAAGAAGGAAAAAAAAGAAAAACGAGTGCATATTCAAGAGATTAATAAGGAATCTTGCTTTTTAAATAAAAAAATAAAAGAAAAGAAAAGACAGAAAGAAACAAAAGCAGAAGGATATCAGCAGTAATATGATCTCTCTTCTGAACAATATCTCACCGGCCGATACATAAGCAAACAGTAAAGTCACTTCTTGAAAAAATGTAGCATATCTTTAGCACCCCAGTTTTGATAGATTGTTACTGAAAGGAAGGAGACGAAATATGCTTTGGAAAAAAAAATGAAATGAAACAGGAAGAGAAGAGTGACATGGGAGGGAGATGATAGAACGTAAGCAATCTCTATCATTCATGTTTGAGTTAACATGGTTTGGCATTTCAATTTCTATAAAAATGATTTGGGTAGTGTGGTCTTAGGGCGGAGCTTTTTCCCAAAATCTGATGGCTTGCATGTTCCCGACAATGTCTGGGTGTCAAATGGGTATGATGGCCTTTCCATAAATGGAAGGATACGTATTGGTCAGTTCAAAGCATTACACAGAACTGAGACACCCCAAACCCTTTCCCATTTTGGCACTCAATCACGACTATAGCTAGGTAGGACACTCCCATCCTTACACTCTCTCCCTGCATATTTCAAAAAAAAAAGAAAATGAAAACCTTTATTTTTATTTTCACAGAAATGCTAGCTAGCTAGCATCATCAATTGAAGACCTGTCGTTTTGTCAAACGCATGAGGGGTGTTCGTTAGAAGTAACTTGATTTTGGTAAAAGGAACAACGGGAAAGCTATAATTAATGACCCCCACATAGCAAGAGAAAAAGCTGTGAGAAGTAGAACGAAGTGCCCTTATCAGTCGAGATTCGAGAGATATTCAATGGAGGAGAAGAGAAGAGAGGGCAGAACTCACAATCTCACCTGGTTATACGAAGGAACTAACTTAACTTTAAGCTAAGCTCAGATGCTTCAGTGTGTGCGATATATATAATAGTCTAATAGATAAGGATGGGAAGAAGACACAAGACCCCACCTTGGTCCATCTTTCACAATGAGCTCTTAGCTTTCTGCGACATCCTTTTCTTGAGGACAGAATGCACAAACAAACCAGAAAATAATGATAATAAGTCTTACGTAGTATAAGCAACGTATTGGCCATATATATAAATGCAAGGAGCTGATATGCCGAGAGAATCAATTCACTGAATAGGGTTGCAGCCTATGAAGATCGGCGAACTGATGAATGATCGATCGACATGTAAAGTTTGTTGAGTCAAAATGAGACTAGAAGTAAGACGTGTATGCAATAAAAGAGCATGGAAGACGCGTACGCTGTGCATCTGCATCCCCTAACTTCATGATCAGAAGCTATGAATTAAAATGTCAAATGGAGACCATTAGTCATATATAACTCAGTGGTCCCTGAAATCAATCTCATTTCTTTGTAAAGAAAATAAATATTGTATTGGTTTAGTTGAGATAAAAAATGTGGTAAGATGTCTAAACGTGAATAGATTTTAAGTTTATATGAGAAAAGATCTGCATCTCCTCAAATTCCTTCTTTTATTTTGATGGAATCAAGCAGTAAGTTGTACCCATTTAAATGTGTGAAACTTAAATCGATCAAACTTGAGAGATGCAAGGAAGAGGAAGAGGCATCACGTGATGGAGAAGAAAAGAAGAGAGTGAGACAAAATGGAAGATAAAAGGGAAGCAGAGAGTAGGGCTGTAGAGGGAGGCCAGATCGGAGAGGTTCTTTTCAGTGAAACATAGGATACTGATTTCATTTAATTACTATGAACTACAGTGGCTGGCTAAAATAAAATTACTATTAAGTATAAACCATTCAAGTTACTCGTTATTAAGATGAGTCACATACATAGTTTTAAATAAATAATACTGCTACTCACAGCTGAAGAAAATTTCTTTACATTTTATGAATATCATGTATAGGGGCATGGCATAAAAGGCTCCTACTACAACATCACTTTCCTCTCATTTATTCTTTTCCAATTTTCTTACATTTTAGAACTATCATTTATTACTCCATCCCATGCACATCCATCTATTTAATTTCAATTTAAACTACTTCACCTAAACAATCTACCTAATCACGTCTTCCATTTGTATATTGGTAACCTGATAATTATTCACTTTATCCTGATTGAAAATGTAAAGCACCAAAAAAAAAATAGTATGATAAGTTCTCATGCATAAATTCTTCCCTTTTAAATTGTACATAGAATTTTTTTGATCTTATAATTGCGGTTAATTTCGGTTAATGTTCCTGTATTTTTTAATTAAGGAATCATTCTTTAAAATTATTATCAACTTAGTTTAAATTCACGCTTACAATAATAATTGATAATACTTTGATCAAAAGTATAGATATTAATTACTCCATGAAAAATTTATAAGGCTGTTGTCTATTGATCCAAAATGAGTAGTATATATAACCTTAAGAATGAAAACTTCTAGATAAAATGAAAGATAATTTGGTGTTTTGCAATTATGAAAGAGTATAGTGAATTTGCACGCTGGAGTAAAGTAATTCATATTTTGACAGTTTCTCTTATAAAATCACATCAATAACTTCATGTTAAAATTTATAAGTGCCAGCAAAAGGTAACTCTAATTGTTTTTGTTTTTTTGTTTTTTTTGAAAATCAATCCTCAAATTGTTCGTCATCCATCCTATCAAAATGAATTAAAAAATGAATTATAATCACTGCATATGAGTAATTAGAAGCCTAGTCTTATTTCTAATAAAACTGACTTTGTTTGGCCCAAAAAAGGGCAACAACGAGAAGAAGAAAAAAGGTTTCCGCATAAAATATCTATATAGTTTTTAACGAATGCTAACATGTTTAGTAGTGACCCCATCTTATTATTATTATTATTTTTTTTTTCGTGCGTGCAAACAACCTTTTATTTAGGCGTTGGTGCCGAATAGGGCAACTTTACTGGTAAAACAAGTAAACATTAAACGTTTTAAAAAACGAAAAGAATAGGGCAAACTTCGTGAGGCCTGTAACAACAGTCCAAGACTAAAACCCTTATGGACCGGTTATGCTCCATTTGGATAAAATGAGTCTATACGGGCCTTCTTTTTTTACGGGATATGGGCCTTTTTTGACCTGAGACATACTGGCATTAATAAATTGAAATGAAAAATCAAAGTTGACGTCAAATATAGGCCTGCTGGGTATTAGTTTTGAGATTCATGATGTGATATATTATATATAAATATAAATAAATAAATGAATCACAATTGTATTTTCCTAGCAAATGGGTTTATTACAGAGTCCCCGCAAGTGGCAAGAGTTTCGAGAAGCGATGGATATTCCTCAATCTGGCTGTGTCTCTCTGTTCACCCCTCTTCATATTCAAATTAATAGGTCCCAATCCCCCATTATCAAAATCATTTTTCATTTTTACCAAACGTCATCCCATTTGAGGTTTTTTTATTAAAAAAATTTTTTTAAAAAATAATTTTAAGGATAAAATTGAATGAAACTCATACACTTATTATTAATTTTGCATAAAAGGATGTTGTGTTATTTTGTTTATAAAAATATCAAGCTTTAAAATTATATAGACACAGCCATTATATTTAAATTAAAAATATATTAATAGAATATAGAAGCGGCATATACGTTTTGAAAATTTTTATTTATTTTTAATTCTAAACCAAATTGTTTCTGTCAGCGGGAATGATTAAAACATCAAATCAAACCAGATGGTCGGACCGGTTGACTACAAACGGTTTGATCAAGTTGAAAAAATTGTTTGGAGAGTTGGGCTTGATTGGGCCGCTTTGAATCGACGGTTAGATTGGGAACCAAAATCAAGCCAAGAATCGGATCCGATTTTCAAAAATCGGACTGTTCAAAAAATGTCCCTTTTTTATTTTTTTGTCAAATTTTTTTAAAAAATAACCAATTTTTTTATCATTTAATGTTATATTATATCATGTGACTGATTAAATTATAATAAGCTTAACATATTTGATTTTATTTTTAAGTTAAGTAGCAATTTTTTATATTTAAATTATTATATACATGTATAATTTTTAAATTTAATTATTACGTTATTAGTTTGATCATTGATCCAACTCAGTTAGAGCATGCTAACCATCAACCACCAAGCTTTTCAGTTTACTATTCGGCTGCAAAAACATTGAGCAGAGAGAGGAGTAAAATGAGTGACCAATCATAATATCGTACGTGCCACTGTATCAGAAGTTGTGACGATGGTTGGGAAATGCGAGTGCAAGTTTGCCATGTCTTGAGTAGAAAAAGAGAGTAGAAAACCCTCAATGGCGGATTAAATGAATTAAAAAGACGCAACTGGCATTAGCATACCACTCATGTTATTATCAGTCTCACCATATTTTTCCCAGTTGTCCAATGAAGATGATCTGATTCTTATTAAATTGAAATATTATATTAATCTTCACTGATACTGGTATTAAACAAACTACATATCTTTCGCCCCATGAATACATGGAGTATATAATAAAATACATGAGATAAATACCAACTCAATTTTTTAAAAAATTCACACATTTATTTTTCTAACATTTTTACCATGTTAAAATACGCAGAAAAAAATTAAAGGAACTAGGTTTAGTGAAAAGGGTTAGTCTTTCAATTTCTCACAATATTGTATGAGAACCTCAAATAAAATGTTTTCAATTGGAAAACATCTGTAAGCAATTAAAAACAGAGAAATATCGAAAGAATATAGAAAAATGTTCCCGTCTCAAATAAGACTGTCTTCAATGAGAAAATACATGCATTTGTATAATAAAAAATTCATGAAGAAAGATTGAAAAGAAAATATATATCCTCCTCAATTATATATCTAAACATGTAATTTATATGGATGGAAAAAAATTATTTACACAAATTTTGATATAAAAAACACGTACTTCTGTAGCCTTATCTTTTATTGATAAATTAAACGACAAATAATCTAGCAAAATAGCTGTGTGTGGTTTTGAGTAAGCACTGATATCACTTTTGAGAAGCTGTCAAGAAACGAAAAGAAAAAATAATAATAAGAGAGAGATGCCAGAAGGACGAAAGAATTAAAATGCTTCATTGTGGCCGCCTGCAAATCCAAGAGGAACCAGCTAAGTAACTACTACACAAAGAGACATTTGGTATGGTGCAGATTTCTCTTTAAAATAACTAATGGTTGCCATCAAAATTATTCCTTTTGAACTGCTCCCTCTTCTCTCCCTCTATTCCCATCATTATTATGATTCCACAGTACAGTCAGCTATTTAGTTGGAGCTAGTCAGTTTAAATGAATGGGATTGTGGCACTTGTATGCATATATTTCAGATTTATATCTTTGGCCTTAGCTTAGCATCAATTCATTTTCAGTAAACCCTAGTTACCTAGCTACTGCACAACTGGGTGATTTCAGGGTAACAGTTCACATGTCTCTTCCTTTTCAAGTAGGGCTAGAAAGCCAGTTGATGGCATATGTAAAATCATTTGAAGATAAAACTTGATAAGGGATTTTTTTATTTATTTTAGGGATATATAGAAAATAGCTCAAAGTTCAACGCGTTTTCATGCATATAGCCAGAAATAGTTTTCATGTGTTCACACTGCTTCTGTCTTCTCTGCCCAGTTGATAAACCCCACTTCTGTTTTTACTATATATGCGAAACCAACTTTGTTTCACTTTCACATGTAAAAGCTGAACCGGTATATTTTTGGTCACATCTCTTGCCAAGTAGAATTATAACCAGGGGAACGTGCATATGAGATCATTAATTATAGTTATAGATAGTGTGCATATAAAGCCTCACTGCTCTTTGTTTTCTTCTTCACTGGGTAGAAATTAGGGAAACAAATCACAATAACAGAGAATATGTGTACAACCCGTTTGCTAATAATAATAATAATATTAGCGTAATGGCATGGATAGGTTAATTAAAACCCAAGTACACATGTACACAAGATACTGAAGTGTGAAAGCAGAAGTGCTCCTGATGCACTATGTCTTCAAATCATATATGATTAATAGTAAATAACTAAAAGTGCAATATGTTTGCAAGAATTAGTCAGATTGAAGTGGGGATTAATTGGACAATAACTGCCAGATATTAATTTAAAATAAACAAAAGAGACCACGTCGTGGAAACCTCGGTGATAGTAACATAAGCAGAAATCGCCACCAAATTAAATGGAAGAGAGAGAGAAGGGGCAAGTAATTAAAAATTACCGAGGATAGGACCGATTATAGAGCCGGCTAAATGAAAAAACCTAAGAGCAAAAGGACAAAAATGTAGAAATCCACTAATATATGCCACAATGACAAAGTCGATGTTTTCTACTTGTCTCCATCCTTCACCTTTCTCTCTGAACGTTGTTCTCTCTAGCTATAAATTAAAGCCCTATTACCCTTCCACATCTCTCCTTCCCTCAGAGCTACTTTATTTTCCCTCATAATCACCAACAGATCTCAGCAGAAATTGTTTGATAATTTCCCTCAGAGAAGAAACAGAAAAGTGAATCTTTTGCCATGAATAATAGTTCAGAGAATTCGAGCGAAGAGACTGATCAGCTAGAACATGCAGATTCATCAGGAGGGACCAGACGCTCTTACGAGTGCACATTTTGCAGAAGGGGCTTCACCAACGCTCAGGCGTTAGGGGGTCACATGAATATTCATAGAAAAGACAGAGCCAAAGCCAAACAAAGTGCACCTAATAATTCTTCTTTGCTTTCAAACAAATTGTCCAACGAGGAATCTTTCGCATCAGCCTCCCCTTTTCTTTCAGAAATATCTTCTGGCCATCAATCCTCAAGGTTTTACTCCATTTTTGAGGTTCAGGGAAACTATAACATGTATTTCCAGCCATCTTCTGCAGCAAACCCTGGAAACCCTTCTCCTGCATCGTATGCTTTTCCTTTTGAGTATCTTAATCCAAGGACTCATCGTCAGTCTGTGGATATGAACCAAGAGCTTCTTGGGGCCAATTTGAGCCTCCAGATTGGTTCGAGCCACGTGGAAAGTGATCAGAAAGATGGCGAAGTGGACTTAGAGCTCAGACTTGGCCATCATCCATTTTGAGGTTATTTAAGGTATATATTTCATATAGATATGATATCTTTTATTGTCTATTGTACAGAAGATATAACAAGGTCCGATTCCATGGAAATTGGGGTGTAAATTATTATCATCGGAGATTGGAATTCATGCATATATAAGCCAAGAGGGTTATTCTCTACAATATATGATCTGAATTGAAGCACACGTACAAAGAAGCAGAAACATTACCTTGTTTCTTCATAACAGCAGGAGGGAAGACCCAGAATGGAGAATTAAGAATTAACTAGAACTCATTAGTTAGGCAAGCATCATTGTACTAGTTATTCTGATGTAGTAATCCACTAGCATATAGATATATAGCTAGCCGCTTTTTTTCGCGTTTGTAAAAAGCCTTTGGCCTGGAACAGTAAGAACCCAGATTTCCTTTTCCCCCTTTAACGAGATTCTTAATTAATTACTATATGCACATTATACTGATGATGCTTTGTTGAGTTTAGATTATAAGTCATGTGACTGCATCAAATTAAAATCGTGTGTTCATACTAAATTTTTCTTTTGCAAGATGCTTTTGATTCAAATTTTCTTTCATCGATCTGCGGCAGTAATGATGAGGTAATGTCCACACACATATTTTGCTTTGTCAAATTTTGTATTTGAGTATATGAATCATGTTGCACATGCTACGGCTGTCCTTGACTAGACCAGGCCAGCATGCTATACAATTTTCTTTACTTTCCCTTTTGTAAAATTACCAAGGGCTTCACCTTGTAGAAATTTTGCCATTTATGAAAAGTTCATAAATCATGACAAGCAATGGCAAGTAGACAAAATCATAGCCTATATATGTATACCATGTGAAAGAAATCGTGTACGCCGTATGCACCCTTCTAAATAATAATAATAATAATAATAATAATAATAATAATTATAATAATCTATTTACTCAAAAGTTAAAACAAGATTGTACCAGAGCACCTACTAAGAAATTTAATTTGATTAATGCTTTTGTTTACCATATGATTAATTATCAATTTAAATTATTAGAGCTCATTTTTCATTTAATTTTTCACAAGTGAGACTGTGAAAAGTATATAAGTATGCTTACGCAATGAAATAGTGATGATTTCTGTTTTTATTGAAGGATGAAGGAGGCTTAATTTAAGTAGCTCATCAATTAATTAGTATGTAAAGCTGATATAGCATATGATATATATATATATATATATAGTATAATGCCCGTAAAAAGAGAGATTAGGGTGAAGAGGGTTGTCAGTTTGCATTCTGCAGTTCACAAATTAAATGGAGCTAAGCTATAAACTAAGTATACATCGACCAAATTGAAATATTGATTGTACATTTGATTAAACGCCATCATGTGATATTAGTCTTTTATTTGCTGTATTTTTATTTTTATCACGATTAAGAAGTTTCTGAAGCTTTTTAGATCATTTTTCTCTCCAAATGAATCTAGAAACCTCCAAATATGACTCATGTTCATCGAATAGATAGATGTAAAGGTTCAAACATGATAACTGATGAGTCCTGGTTAACAAACATGATGACTTTGAATTTTATATCCCGGCCGACGAGTCAGTCAACCCTGGGAAATAGTTAATTCGGTGATTTTGATTTATTTGCACAGTTCGGCCCCAGAAAAGAAATTGATTTGCACAGTATAAAAACTAGTACGATTTGAGTTCGTGTATCATGCCATTAGGCTTACGTACGTGGAATGACCTCTCTTTGTAATGAACTGATGATACTGATTCCCCGCCCCTTTGCTTAGTTCCTTAATAAAAAGTTAATGCCTTCATTGATAGTAATAATTAACTAGCTTTGAGCAACGTGGTGGGAAACTGCGATGGGATATAGTTAGTGCATACATGCATGTGTGTGTGTGGTTAAAAAAAAAAAAATATACATATATATATATATATATATCCATACCAGTTTCTCATGATGGAAGAGAGGATCAAACTTAAAACCAAAACAGCCAAAACCATGACAGGCAACGATAAATTAAACCATGTTACAATATGCAGTTTGTATTAAGGGCATGTTTGTTTATATTTATATTTTTTTATAAAAACCATTTTTCAAAACAAAATGAAAAGAAAACATATTGGATTGTGTGGATTTAAAAATAATTTTAAAATTAAAAAATCATTGATAGTAATGGCCACCGGTAGTTAATAAAAATAGTTTATGATAGTGATGATCTCCGGCCAGTAGTTAATAAGAAGATACATGTGCAAGATAAAAAGAATTGTACTTAGTTCTGATGGCCCCAAATTTAGTAGCACCTGGAAACTACCGACAAATGAATGGTTAAGTTAAATATGGATGGTGCTTTCTTTGTAACACAAGACATTGCAAGGTGTGGCGGCCTATTTTGGGAATCCTGTGGTGATGAGTTCAAAGATAGGTACATGTTTAAGATGAATGGTGGTGATGACTCGTTGCTTGCTAAACTTTGGGACCTTAGGTATCAAGAGTTGATCCTTGAATCAGATTCACTTAAAGTCATCAAACTAGTCCCTGGTGCAAATTATTCCTCCCATCCAAATATGGAAGTTATTCTTGATATCTGGCCTCTACTATAGCTCATGCTTGGATTGTGGACATATTTTATATCTCACATGATGTGAATCAAGCCATCGACATACTTGCTACACAAGCTTTGTCTTACATTGTTAGTTTTCATCTTGTTTTTACCCTCCTCCTAATTTAGTTCCTGTGCTGCAGCAAGACATTGCTGCTATTTAGTTGTATTTTCTCTCTTCGGCTATTAAAAAAGAACGAAAGAAATACATCTGAATGCATGTCATTAGTGACATCAATTGCTCACTTATAGGAGTACATTTAGTAACAATTACAAAAAAATTATAAATATATTGCATAAAAGAAAATTGCTGTCATTTATTTATCTAGATAAATAACACTGATATGTAAATGCATTCAACGACGACCTTATCATACGTTAATGTTATATATATGCACTTTTTGTACACACTTTGTGTGAGTATTACAAAACCTTACCAAGCAATATTTTAATTGGCGTGATTATTTTTTTTCACTTCATTTTCATCAGTAACGTCTAGTAATTTCAGTAATGACTTTTTATTTTAATAAATTTGAATCAATTTCAACAGCTGTTACTGTGAACAGCTGATGTCCTACTAATCATTTTAGATCACGACAAATGGAGGTATGGAGCCAACAGTTTTGCGGTATTCCTTAAATGAGAATTGGAAAAGTTTAAGGGAAATTTAGATTCAAGATCTAAATAAAAAAATTAATTATTTTGTCAGTATATTATATGCAAGAGTCAAACTTCATTCAACAATTACATGTTAAATTTAAGTATTTGCAAGTGGGTAGATCTGGCATATAATTAATTTTTTCTATTTGGAATCTGGGTGTAATTTACCCAAAATTAACAATTACAACATTAATTCAATCAAACTATTGGCTAGCTGGATGTAATTGATTTTAGAACAAATCAAAAGGAACCCATTTAGTTTTTTAAAAAAGAAAATATCCTAAATTTACCCAAAGTCCCCCACATACTTTCAGTTTCAAAGGCCAAATTGTTGGCAATACCGGAAATAGGAATACGTGTTCATTGCACTGAACAAACATGTCTCGAGGCCTCATTCTTAAATTCCTCATAACTGAAAAACGAGATTTTTTATTGAGAAAATTTTAATAAAAACCCCTTGATCACATTTATTTAAATTCAAAATTCATAAATTTCTAAAATTTCATTATAGAGGTATTAATTTGATATTAAATTGTCCTTCATTTAAATTAATATCAAAACCATCCTACTTTATTTATTCATTTACTCGCGGAACATTATTAATTATCTTACTTTATCGGTTCATTTCCTAGGAATAAAATTAAATGAAAGTCTGGTAATGAATAACAGTTCGTAAGAAAATAAATAACATACAGTATAGAAACTAACAAGTTGTTTTAAAATGATTTAAATACCTAACATGAAAAAAAATTAAGTAGGATAATTAACAATATTTTATAAGTAAATTAACGAGTAAAATAGGATAATAAACAAATGAGATAAGGAAGTTTTTATATTAATTTAAATGAGGGGCAACTTTATCATTTCTCTCATAAATTTAATACAATACTCTTGAATTGTAGTGTAATTTTAAAAATTTAAAAATTTTAAATTTAAATAAGTGTGATCAAGAGATTTTTATTGAAATTCTCCCTTTTTTATTTCATACAGCCATCATCTTACAAAAGTTAATTCTATTTGAAATACAGCTAGATACAAATCTATAAAATTTATTTCATTCTTAAATACATTGATTTGAAATGTAAAATTTTATGCACACACACACACAAAAATCTCTCTGTCCAGAAACATTTCTTGCGTAAAAAATTTGTTTGTCAAATATTTGAAAATAAAATCGAGTGCTGGAGTTAAGACCAATAAACACGCACAGAAGATTTTGTGGCACTGGGATCCCCATATGCAAAAATGGGAACGTTCTGGAATTAAAGGGCCCATATTCCTCCATCCCTTTATCAACTTTAAGATGGCCCAACTTAGAGTTTAATGGATGGATCATGGATTACAATTTATGACAAACACCAGACATCACTGCATTGTCCCCTTAAGTTAAGAGTTTTTTGCCCAAATCCAATTATGTCAACGTTTTCCTTGGACATCAATAACATTACTAAATGGGGCTATCAGCGGTGGCCACAGCTATTTCATCCAATTTTATTCGTGGAACCATAGATTAACGAGAATGTCTAGATGTCTATATTGCTAGTTAAGTTTTTTTTTTTCAAAGAAAAAATATATGTGAATTGGCTTTCAAAATTTACTAATAGCTCATTGGATAGGGTAGAAGTGAGAGTTGAAAAGTGGAAGTGAGAGTGGAAGTAAAACTATGAAAATAAGATGTTTGATACACTGAAACTCATTTCCATAAAAAATGATGGAACTCAATTCCTCCCCCATACCCATGAAACCAGGTTCCTTCTCTCACTTCCTTCCTCACTTGTCATCTTTGCCCTTCAAGCTTGTCACTTATTTGAGACGGTGCTTTAAGCTCCCACAAATCCCTATTGCTTCTATGATCAAAGTTGCTGATGAAAGATTGCAACGAAGGACAGAAAGTAGCCGTTCATCAACCTCCCAAATCTCCAGCCTCTACTTCAAACTTTAAAAATCCCTAGTGCTATGGCTCTCCATAGTTAGTGACAATTGTTCAATCACGATTTTGATTTTGTTTTCCTCCGTGCACAATTCAATTCGGGTTCAACTGTCCGACCTTCTCGAGCCACAGCTTCTCTTTTGATCTCTCGTCTTTCTGGCTTGATTTTCTGTCTTCAGATCTCCTTGTCCTCCCTTCATCTCGTCTATCCCTTCATAATTTCCCCTTCTTCAATTCTTTGATTTGTGACTTTCTGGTCTTCGATTTCTTATATAGAGTTGTGCAATTTTCTTTGGGATATCGCATTGTTGAGTTTTGGATTAATTATTTTATGGAAATTATTGTTGAGTTGTGGATCGATTTTTTTTTGGAATGGCAAGGTGGTTAGATGAAGGAGTTTGTTGACGCTTGAATATTTTTAAAATTTTAGGGGTGCTTTAGTCTTTTCAAAATGTAAAAGTAATATTAAATAAAATTTTTATCTTACTTATATTGACATATCA